CAATAACCAGTTCAGGTTCAGTGCTGCAAGGGGTTCAGTGCTGCAATAAAAAACGATAAATTAGTTATTGAAATAGGGTTCCATTTGATGCACAGGAGTTATGGAGGGGTGCCAGGAGCCTAAGAAGTTAAAGGACTACATCTTACCAAGACAATCATGTTGCCATAAATTAAACACACAAAAGGTATAACTTCTATCACTTCAAAAGGTGACATCTGTTCAGTTCTATACTGGATTCTCCCTCCCCCTCCCCTCAGCTTGGTACTTTGTAAGGTCTGAATCCAATATCATTACAGAAGCAGATCATTTAAATTCTAGAGAGAGAATCACATACTTAGCAATCTGCAAGGCAATGTGAACATATCTGTCTTGAAATCCATCCAAACTAGTACACAGTGCAAGCAGTACCCATATAAAAATAAAGCAATAGAAGTGGGTTAGTTCTGAAAATTACCTCTCTGCCCAGAACCACCAAATAGGATTTGACCAAAAAAATATATGCAACAAAATAGACCTTCCCAGCCCTCTCCAAATCCTGAGATTCTTAAATCCTGAAAATATTTATTGAAAACCCAAAAGAACAGAGACACCTTGGCAAGATGCTACACAGGACGTGATTTCAGAGATGTCTGCCTACCAAGGCCCCATATTAGACAGCCACCATCATTAAAGATTTCTATGAACGAGGGCATATGACCAGTAATCCCTTCAATGCCCTCAGCCTAGTGTAGTACAGGCTGCCCCTGAAGAGTCACTTCTCAATTCTCCTAGGGAAGAAATGCAGATGGAAGTGACAGTAAAGGAGTAAACCAAAGTCATGAGATGCCACTGATGAGTGCTGTACAAGAAACTGCTGGCTGATTAAATACCAGGGGCTTGAGCTCCCTTGACACAAGAGATTCTCTGCATAAACACATTAATGAGCATGTTCCAAGCAGCTCCAACAGCATCAGGGTTACTTTGTGCAAGACTTCTAGTTTAACTACCAGACTTACTTTAAAAACAGAAAACATCCTAGCAGGCTACTAATAAGGTAAGAGATTCAGGCAATAAAAACACTCAAACATTCAACTCTCCCTCTATGATTTGGCTCTTGCTGCTGATGCCAGCACAGAAGCGGAGCCTCAACACTGCCCTTTTATAACAGGGCTTAGAGATTAAAGGACTGTGGAATGAATCTTACCCTTCTAATTTAGAAATTAAACATCTGGAAGTCAAAGCTGGACAACAGGAAACTGTTACATTCCCTACTCTGCTAATGCCAATTCACAACACAGACCTTGACCAGAATGCTACACAGCAGTAAAGTGTTCCAAGTTTACAGGACAAAATCATTTTGAATCTTCCTTCTCCCTAATTCTGTAAATGGCTGAGATTCAAACACAAGATCCAAGCTCTAACCTGCAGCTCTTGTAGCGAGATTGGACTAGAGATGAAATTTCCTTCCCCCTCCACCACCACCCCAATTCTTCACTTTCTACTCTCTCCCTCCACCTTATGCGACTTTGCCTAGGTTTTGTACCCGAGTCAAAGTTTTCTCAAGTGTTTCAAGTGCAAGTAAGCAAAACTCCCCCTATTCCTGAAGAAGGGTGTTTATGTCTGAAAATTTGCAAAGAACAATTTTTCCAGCTATTTAGTTGGTCTAATAAAAGACAGCACATTTATCCAAAGAACTTTGTCTGCCTCAAATGCAGTAAGAAATGTGTGAGCACCTGAGGTATGAGACCAATACTGACGATACACAAGAGCTAATCCATACTTCTGCCAATGCCTTCTAATCGAACCGCAGCGCCCCTTACCATGTAGCTTCTAGCTGGCCAAGCATCACCTTAGGAAAGCATACATTAGGTTGACTTCTATTTCAGGTGATCGAGAAGCAGTTAAATTAATTCCTGTTTCTGTGCATGAAAGATGGAAGGCCAGGCCCAAAGGCCTACTTGTGGCCAACTCCATTCTGAGGGGCCATCTTCTGATGCTCAGATCCTGGAGGGATACTTTTTGTTTGTAGTTACCCAGACACCAATCCCACTTGGTTAACTTAATAGCAGTGGCTGGGACTCACTCCAGAATTCAACACTCCTCATCAACCAGAATGATGGGATGTTTTTTGTGGGGAACAGGGGATGGAGGCAGGATGTGTTAAGAGAGCTGAAGAGGTTTCCTTCTCTATCACATGCCCAAGGATGTTGGAACATCATAGCAAGAGCCATGATGCTCAACCAACTTGACAGTCCTGGGCTTCAAATTCAGAAATCGCACCAGTCTAGAACACTGTCATCTTGGGTCCAACTTGATTTATTTGGAGCTGGTGGAATAGGGGCCTGTTCTCAATGCTCCAGCTGTGGATTAGCATGGCTTATTCCCTTTGGCAGTAAAAATGTAAATGCCATAAACCAAAACACTAATTACTAGGCATAGCCATTTTAACACTAATCACCTCCAGTCTACCAAGAAATCCTTGAATACCCTTTTTCGGCATGCGGGTCTGATGACGAGGAAGAGGCTCCACCAGACAGTAAACTGCCAGAAAACTACAGCATCAACTCCAAAGAATCGACTAAGAACAGGCTGCCTACATGAACATGTATTAGACCACACCAAACCCCATTTCTCACCAGAAGTAGCATCCATGCACTTGGGGAAGAGGGGAAGCAGGCAGGTGACCAAATTAGCTAGCACAGGTGCCAAGACATCCAAAGAGTCTTATGATCTGTACTCAATCCAAAGCCACTCAAAGCAACCAAATTATCCAGTCGCTCACACCCAGTCTGCCCGCCAAAGCACATGAGCGGGACTCTGTGGGTCGGCTCGCAAATTTAGGAGAGGGCTGAGGTGAGTGGTGCGGGGCCTCCCGACCCACGGGCTGCGTGCTGTACGGGCCAAGGGGGACACGCAGGGCTCAGCCCGGCCTCGGACACGGGCTCCGGCCGCGCGGGGACCTGCGCACGGGCCGCATCATGTCCAGAAAGGCGACGACCGAGGGCCGGGGCCACATTGGCCGGGGCCGCATTGGCCAGGGCCGCACGACCCGAGTCGGCTCCCCACCGCAAACGCCCGCAGGGGGCGCTGCGCCCCCGTATGCCCCCCCGGCCCGGCCCGGCCCGGCCCCACTCACCAAAAGAGGCCGTGCGCGGCCGCCCAGCCCAGCGCGCTGCGGCCCGGCCGCTCCCACACCAG